TAGAGTACAAAATAGAGGTCTCATGTAAAATCTTGTGACAGAAGTTGTGTTTTTCAGAAATATATTAGCATTTTGTGAAGGTTCTTTCTGCATCTAAATTCACCATTGTCTTAACAAAGGAGGACAATGTGAGAACTATAGTTTTAAGCCTTAATAAGAAGGTTTACTAATGATTTCCCAAGGTAGTAGATTTGGTCAACTCTCATCACTACCATGAACAAAATAGTTATTATATGAGATGAAAATGCTATTTTGCATTATTTTTTAATTGACTATGGATGCATCATTTAGAATAGCTCAAATATATAAGGTAAAAATTTTTCTTCCCACATTATGAGTTTTCTCTTCACTGTTGGTGATTTCTCTTGCTGTGTAGAAGATAGTGTGAAATAGGAAGAAAAGGTTCAAAGGGGAATGGGAAGGGAAAGTGGGAGGTGAAGGGGAAAGGAAAGAAAGGAAAGGAAATAACTATAAGAAAAAAAATGGAAACAATGTCTTTGTAAATTCAGAGGGGTGAAATGGTTGAAGGAAGGGCAGGGGAATTGGTAAAAATAAGAATGATGGCATATCATGTATAGGTACAATTTCCCAAAGACGAATGTCATCATATTGTATACCTAAAATGTGCCAAAATAGTTAATGAATAAAAAAAGGTTCTTTATTTTTGTATTACAATATTTGAAATAAACTGTTTTAAAACTCTTGATTGTTTAAGTTGCAGAAACATATATATATTTGCAGATATATATCAAGACCTGCATAAAAGAGTAATGCCAAAATGTAAATGACACCTTAACATTTTAAATGAACATTATGATTGACTAAATAAAACAGCGCATTTTATCACCATCACTAGAAATATTTCTTATATGAAAATTGTAAAAACTTGCATATTTAAACCTATTTTCAAATTGCTTAAAGTTCTAGATTGCAATATAAGTCATTATAAGGAACAAATTCATCTCACAATATTATTGCTTATCCATATTTTACCTCAAAATTCAAATATGAATATGATATACAGCTTTTCATTTTTAATCTG